GTCTTCTAATTGTATAATTATACACACTCTTTCGTATGCGCGTGATTATCTCAATTACGCGCATTTAATTAATTTTGTCTCTTCGTCACTTTGGCTTCGCAGACTAACATATATTAATTTTGATACACGAACACGATGCGAGAGTGTACTTTTGTTTCGCAGATCCTAGGTCTCGTAGCTAGATCTTGCATCCAGTAAATGGTATTCTCTCTTGTCGTCTCGCCACTCTTACCATCCTGTATTATTTCATTCAGCTATGTTCTGTGAATGTTCTATATGACAAAATTCAACGATCTCGACGATCTCCAAACTAAAATAATTACAGTCATCTTACAGTAGAAATTTTTCAACAATCTAATTTCTGACTCTCCAAGAATGCATTGCATTCCGAACGCGACGCAACTAACGCTGTCCGCGATGCAACTAACACCGGTTTGTTTAAGGACAAACCAGCCGAGAATAGCGCGCACGTAGATATATCTAGGACCTACAAAAGTCGGTGATTAGATCATCGATCGAGGTGGATACATCGCAAGCCGTTTAACAATTTGCAAAATTTTCGCAAGAGACGCTTCGATCGTTCGCATTCTACGTCGTACGATCTGCGGTGCAACGATGCAATAGTAACGATAAATTAATTTTGTTCATAATAGCAATAAATAATATTACAAAGTGTGCGCTTCTTACAATCGATACTGAGACCGGAGAAGAGCGGGATGGGGATAATATTTCATTATTCGTGCGCGTGTACATTCATAACGAGTCTGTGGAAACTATAGAACTAGACTCTATAGAGGAGCGCTTCTGATATGCGTGTGTAAGAGAAGGGGGCTAACTGGTCCATTCGTTGTTCTTTACAAGATACTTTTTCAAGTGCAAATAAACGTGAAGTGTAAAAAAAGTATTGCGCAACAAGGATCTGAGGTTTGCGGGGACTTCGCCTTATGTTCGCCGAGGTCTTTGCGTTTTTTTTTTTTTTTTCTTTTTTTTACAGAGCACCTCTTTTACAAGTATAACGGGTTTGAATTCCTTCATTTTTCTCTGAAAACTTCCGACATGTATACATTGATGTGTAATTAGAATTATTATAGACTGTCTTTCGTGGATTTACGGTATCATCGCGGAGAATAACCCGATTATACTCGAGAATCGCTCGCTTTACTGAAGCGAAAGATCGATATTTCGCGAAGTTGAAGTATGCGGACTGTTCTAG